GCATTGAGTTCAAATCCATCCATCCCTGCAAAGCAGAGGGAGGGTGCCAAGCAGCAGCATGCCTCTCGAGGGCAACGGTCTCGTTTGTGGGAATCTGTCCTGTCCCCAGAAGAGTTCCTGGAAGAATGTAACTCAGGGCCTAATACCTATTTATCCATCACCTTGTCCTCACAGCTCTTCTGCATGTAGGCATAACTTAAACCAGCAAAGAGCCTTGTTGAAACTGATGTATTTTTTTTTTTCTTTTCTTTTTTAAGACACCAACTCTTGTGCTTTTCTTTCACTCTGCAAAGAACACAGCTGACATTCTTACCCCCATGCTTAGCAATGCCAGTGCTGTAACGGATGACGCTAGCACTTAAATGCACTAGGAAGACAGGAGTGGGCTGAAGCCATTTTTAGAACAACATGCTATTTTCTCTTCTAGTGCTGACTCATTCACTGTACCTTGTGGTGTGTTTACCTTGATTGCTTGCTGCTTTGCAGGCTGTTGAATGGCTGAGGGAGGAATATTAATCAGTGACATGTAGCAGTGTGCTCCAGAACTTCAGTGATGGGGAGTGCTATGCTCTTGCCTGGCTTTTGGCTTTATTGTAGAAATTACTTCTCTTTAACTAGCATTCACAGGTATTTCAGTGCTGGAAACTGTAAGCAACATTTTTACATACATCATTTTAGCACAGCTATCTAGTTCATATTCATTTTTTCTGTTGAAAATCTTTGCTCCTCACTAGTACTCTCATATCAGAGTGAAAATCAAAGTCATTGCACTGAATATGTGTTGAGCTTAATTAGCCAAAACAGCTGATGAAGACAGAAGAGATCTCAAAACTCATGTATCTTTTTCTTAACTTACTTAATATTAAAATGACATGGACAGCAGTAGCAGCTGCTATAGCTAAATCTATAAAAAAGTGTGCTTTACTGCATGTATGATCTGCTTGGGCTTTTCTGCCTGCAGAGTGAGATGACAGAAGTGTTTTGAGCTCAGAAATGCATTTGTAGCTTCATTTTTCTGCAGACAGAAACCAGAAATTAAAGGCCCATACATAAAACCTGTTGCTAGTCATTCACAAGAACCTGATAAATGCTTTTAGTGTACAGTTACAGATAGTGCTCTCTGCTCCCATGGTGCTGGTTGACCGCCTGGTTCACACTATAGCTAAGCTGGTTGAACAACGAGCAGGAGCCCAAAGGGGCTTCCAACTCTTCCCTTCTCCCTTCTCTCTGTGTGTTCCCACCACCTCCACTGTAGCAGGAGTGATGTAAATCCGATCTAAGCTTTAGATGAGAAAAATAATCACTGTTTTATACAACTTTATTTCTACTATTTAGTTCTCTGAAACTGTCCACTCTAGGGCTAGATGGCCACCCATGCTGGAACAAGGCATGTTGACTGCACCACCTCTAACTTACAGCAGCACATCTTGTGCAAGGACATCCCCCAGCTGCAAGGACTGTCTGACATGAAACCCCGAGAAGAGTCAGAGTCTAAGCTTGGAGATCTACCAGGTTTAAAAAGTACCTGCTTTCAACCCTAGGACCTGAATTAAGCATATAACATGCAGGCGCCTTCAAAACCTCTTTTCTCATTTCCTGTTTTCAGGCATCTGTGAATTTGGTAGAAGCTTACCTAGAAAGAAATTTCTTTTGTTCACTCTTCAGAGTTTCAGTTTTAAGGAAAAAGCAGCTGAGTAATTGCTGTGGAAGATGAAATGGCAGCCCAGAAACACAACACAGAAAACATGGTCTCAAGCACAGCCCTAAGACTGAGCCATGGTCTTCCAGTTTGGGACTGTATAGCAAAACTCTTCAGTGGAAAACAGAAGTAGCAAGATTTTATACAAGTGTCAAAAGCAAAAAATAACAAGGAGGCCAGTAGATAGAAAAGTGAGTTGGGTACAATGAATCCTCATATAACTGGGTAGCACAGTAAAAGCCATCTATATTTCTATATAAAATTTATAACATTAAATTATAAATATAAAAAAATAATTTTTATTATTCTAGACAATGTTTATGTATTCATATATAAGATTGCTGAAGGACTACAATTTCACAGTTTTGCTTTAAAAAGAATTTTAAAATATATAACTTTCATCACTCAGGAGAAATGCCTTTTAATCTTATGTATTGTAATGCTGTAAGCACAGAGATCCTGTGAGGGGCCTGGGTTTTTTTGCTAATCTCTTCACTTGTGCACCACTAGGAAATCTGCTGCTGCATAATCAGCTTCATAATTCCTTGGATTCTTATTTCCACATATTCTGGAGCAAGGCAGTAAACTCTTCTGGCTACGGATCCTGACACATTTCTCTACCTTTCTCTGTTTCTGAAACCTAATGATTATTTTTATCCAATAATTATCTAGTGATGCTGCTTACGTTGCCGTAAGAAAAGTTAAATATCCTTCCTCAGTTTTGCAGATAGAGTAACTGAAGTGTGCAGTGATTAACAAATTACATTTCCTGGGTCAGAGAGAAAGTTCATGGCAGAGCTAATAATGGGACTTACATGTCTGCTCTTAACGATTACAGTGGGATAGCACAGTGTCCCTCAAAGCAGAAGTTTCAAAACTAAGCATTTAGTTATGACATTGACAGAATGGGGTCCCTTCAGTTTGTTTTCTGACCTTGGGCTAGTGAATAAGCCAGCTACTCAACCTGAAGGATATCTATGCCCTCCACAGCATTCTACAGAACACATATTTTATTTTAACATTTTGTAACGAGAATATTCCTGTTGTAGAGTTCCTGGTATTATTGCTTTGGATACAACTGTAGATTCTTTATTGTAATAACTGACACTCAAGTCTTAGCAAATTTCCATTATTATATGATCTCTGTGATCATTCTGTGAATGGATGATCACATGGATGATCAAATAGATGATCACTACTATCCTGTTTTTAAAGGGGCTTAAAAACAGAGATCACAGAGAAAGTATCTGGTGCAGCAAAAATTCAAATTCACATCTCTTTAAGCTGGATGAACCTACCTGTGGATGAACCTTCCTAATAACTGGATGAACATTCCTTTCTGTAGTCATCCGAAATTCACAAAAAGTATAAAACAATAACTGCAAAAAATGTCCTTTCCTGCTCCTTAGGCTTTCCAGTGGGCTTGATCTAAAGCTTCGTGATACCCAAGTTAATTTGTGAACTCAGTGTTTCACACTCACTTGAGGATGCTATTATAAGTCAGGAGTAAGGAGAAGGCCTATGAGAAGTAAAAACTGGTGGCTTCTGCAAAGAAAAATGAGAGGTAAAGACGGGGGGAGAAGAAATGATGAAATATGATGAGCACAAAACCCGGCAGAGATGTGGAGGAACCAAAGCTGTCTGTGTAGCAGCAGGAGTTCGTCACGGGAGGGAAAAAGCTAGCCATACCTAAATTTCTCTGTCACGTCGCAGCTGCACATGTGGTTCTATAACACAAACACAAATGGAAGTCTCTGCACAGGACGTGCTTCCTGTTCTGGCTCTTTGAGTTAGATTAAAAACTTCTAGGGAAGTGCAGACTGTTTTACATACATGAGAACTGTACTTGGGTATGATGAAATATCACAGCTGTCAGTCTAAATTGGAATCAATTTGCATGGTAATGCTACGAGGGTTGCAATTTCTTTATTTTCCTTTCTCTGCAATGAGGAACTTTCCCCGTTTCACTAGGGAAGATTGATCCTGGATGTCTGTGTCTGCATTTGAAAAAGTCTGGCTTTTCAAGTGTGTCATTATTATTGGTTCCCTATTACTCAGAGGGGAGAGAGCTCTGCACAGAAGTACAACGGTTCCTAGTCTGTGTTTGTTGGCTTCTGCTCGGTCCACAGGAACTGAAAATCTACAAGTAGATATACCTGGAGTAGAGATTTGCCCATGTGAATGTGAGAATCAGTTAAGTTCTGGAGAAAGAGAAGTTCCATAACAAGAAATACAAGAGAAGCATACTCAGAACAATGTGGGCTTTGCAGGCTGTACTTGGTAAAAATACTGAAGGGAATATTTGCATACTCCCTTAGTTTTTTTTCCCAGTGACAAAGTTCTCTTCCCAGCCACTCCCTCCTTTCTCTTCTTCTCCCACTGCTCTTTTCTCCGTACACCCTGATGTGTTAATGACACTTGTCATGGGCCTGTGTTGGACCTAGGCCATGCAAAGGATGTAAATGTCTAAAAAAATATATATTTGGGAAGCTAATTTTTAAACCTGTGTCACTTTAACATCCAGATCATTGTGCAGCATTGTAAATGGCCCCACCAGCATGACTTTGGGGTGGCAAATGGTAGCAAGCAGCAGTATAAAAGTTTAAATGTAGGAGAAAGTGGGAACTTCTTGGTTGCTGCTAAAGAAAACAAGCATGCAGAACTCCACCACAGAGTCTGAGCATCAAGCCTGAAACAGTTCTCTCCCTGAGGTACCCATGTAACTTTTAACAAAGATAGCTAATAGTATGGTCTCAAGAGGTTCAGTTCATTACAATTTTGGATGACCCAGTCGCAAAAAGGAAGTTTGTGAGTAATCATCATCACAAAGCCATTGAGTACACCAGTAAATCTATTCTACTGTTACTTAGAACAACCTGGATAAAAAGAATAAAATAACACAAAAATAGAAATTCACACAGCCTGTTTTTAAAATTACCCCTTTACAGATGTATTTGACATACTTTTTCTAGCCCCTAAACTGCTGGGAGAATAGCCCCTTTTTTAGTCTGATGTATGGATTTTATCGAGACATTCAGTGTGAACTCCAAAGATGAAAACACATCAATTGACCTTAAACTAATTTATATCACACCAGTTTTATTTAGTTTTTAATCTATGCCCTATAAACCAAGTCAAAAGCTAGAGTTTTCTCACTGTAATGGAATAACTGCACTAAGTGAGTTGTACAGATATTCTTTAAGAGAGATACACACATTACTCTTGTATTTTTTATGATGACTTAATGGCATAAACTGTGACGCTTTTTGCATTAGAAATGTTAAGAAAATCTTTCTCTTACCTGAAGGTAATGGCACGGCCTCAAGGAAGGTTTGATTTCCTGATGGACCAGAGGCTTATCTAAGTTCAACGATGATTTGCGATAAGCTTCTTTAGCCTGACTTACTGTAAGCGTGGACCAAGAACTCCTTTTCATATATTTACCATCAGGGGTCATTGCTAGCCCTTCACACGCCGAACATTTCACGTCATTGTTACTTTTGGAAGTCTTCAATGAGAGATCCCCAAAATGTCCCTGGAGTGCCTCAGGGTAGCAATGGGATATATGGTCTGTATGGTGCCTATTTACCACACTAGGGGTTCGGTAAGTGCTATCACTGTCCAAATTGTCATCAGAGCTCCACCAGCTGCTCATTCCAGATTTATGCTTGGTTTCTGGTTTTCGCTCCTTACTTTTACTCCTTTTGCTATGCTTGGAATGGTGCCCGTGATGATGGTCGTCCCCTCGACTGTCTCCTTTTGTTCCATTAACGTTGCCCTTGGATGATCCTTCCAGAGAATGAGATTTAGTAAAAAGTTTCTGGACTGAATGAACGAGATGGCGTATTCTTCCTGGGCTCTCACTGCGTTGTTCCGCAGCTGTTGAGGTCCTCTGGTACTGTAAAGTGTGAAACCCATCCCGGTGAAGAGGAAGTTGTTTCTCAAATTGGTCCAAAAGGTTTGCAGGAATACGGTTAATCTTAGGGTTACCGTGAGACATGGCGCAGTCGTCTCTTGAGTCGTAATGTGAGCTGTAGTGCATTCTGGGGAAAGTGCTACTTGACATGTGATCGCCCATTACCATGGGCATCATCATGCATTCAGAATGGATGGAGCTGCGCGGCGAGCAACGATGGTGGTCCATCGGGCAACTCTCCGTGGGGCTGAGAAGATACGGTTGCCTTGGCTCCTGCCCATGGTGGATATGGTCGTGGGTGTGTTCACAATCTTCAGGGGATGCTAAGCCACAAGTATGAGCTGAACATAACTGTGGTTGGTTGCGACTACCAGATAATCCTTTCATATTCCTCGGAGCAGGAGAGTATCTTTCTTCATTGAAGTGCGGAGAAGGCGACCATGAGTACTGCTGGTCTGTCAGGAGAACACAGAAAACCTATGTTATGTGTCTGATTGAAAGATTAACTTGCAAGTTAATACTTGCAAGTATATTGCAAAACTGAACATTTTTTCTCTATGGGCTTGATGGAAAATCTCACCACTCATGGAATTTCATTCACCGCTTTAAAACTGGTTAAAATTGCTCACTTAGGGGGTGAATGCAGCCTCCGTCATGTTTGCAAAATTCTCTTCTAGCAGTTCTAAATTTTATGAAGCTATTCATTATGTAAATTTACTCAAATAGATTTAATGGATACATTTGAGTATTCAGTTTATTATTCGATATTTGGAATTCACATGGTCAAGCTTTGTGGATAGTCATTTAAGTTACATGGGTCTAGTTTCTATTTCTGTGGTTTCTCAGTTAGATACCTTAACCTAAATGTACCCTTTCTCCACCGAGTCATTTTTCTATCACAAACTGAACTTCACTTTCTTAAATAAATCTCAGCTTCAGGATGCCAAGTTCATGGTTCATAAACATAAATAATAAACAGCAAAGAGAAAAAGAATATGAACGTGCAGAAATGAAGCTTAATTTTTCTGTCAATAAACAGTCTATGAATAAGCATTTCATACAATTGGAACATCTGTTATCCTTAGACCAGAGGCATTATCTCTATTTCCATATACGTACAGTCTTTCCTGCTAGGAAGTTTTTTCCCCTTTTATGTCCAAATTACAAAATATTTACTTACTGACTCTGTTATTCCTGATAAAACAAATATCTTTAGGTTCAAGCTACAGGTTTTTATATACTCAATTATTTATTCCTATGGATCACGTGATCCAAGTTGTGGTTATTAAACAAGCATGATTACTAAATAAGAGTAACTTGTAAGTAAAGATTTTGATACTCCAGCCTTTGATTTCTTTTTTTCTCTCATGCAATTTCTTGCAGCTGTCAAATGCTACAAACAGAAAATAAAAAAAAAAAGCAAACAGAAATGCTTCGATTTGATTTTTGCATTCACTTTGCCGCTTCAATTTCAGCTTATTTAAGCAACATTTCAAAAGCAGACAAAGATACAGGGTGCGAGACAATCCTTTAGAGGAGCAGACAGATGCAGAAATGTTTATACAACCCACTTAGCAGAGTCTTTCTGTAAATTTGCTCTAAAGAATCTAAATAATCTTGCACAGGGAAGGTGAAGGCCTTAACCAGCATGGAAGCCAGAGAATACGTACTCATTATATACAACAGCATAGCCAGACACTGGAGGCCATCCTCTGGAGACAACGTAACAGCCAACTTTGAGGGGTTTCTAAACATATGTCAAAACTCTCCTAAATCATGTTCCCACTGCTGCTGAAAACTCAGTGCCTGCATATGGTCATGAAAGAAATCAATACCCACATCGCTTTAATTGTATTCAATTAACAAGCGTTATGTTATGATACCTGCAGAATGCAACTTGTTGCAAGTCTGTATCATCAGCAATCTCATAACATAAAGGCTCTACATTTCCTATAGTGGAAGACACTTAGATAATTTTCTTAGATGCTAATTTCAGCAGAGCTCCACATATTTTTTTAAAAATGAACATAGCATTAAACTAACAAACAATCAAGTATTCTTCATCCTAGGTGCAACCCTATCACACTAAAGTCAAAGATGGATTCAAGGGTCCAAATTTCACCTCCAGACTTTATCGGTGTATAACGGATGTGTGTGTGCATATATCCTTTTCTGCTTCTATTTTGTTTTTATACTAGTTTCTTTTACTTAATTCTTGGCTATTTTCAGTTTTAAATAAAAACTTATTACTGTTCATTACTCAGTCTGTTGTACTATTTAGGTTATAATACCCTGCATAATTGTAGTTACAAAAAGGAAATGGAACTGTTTCTCTGAAATAACATAATTTTGATTATCCAATTAAAAGTAGAGCTATATATAGACAAGGCAGTAAATTACAAGAGTGCGCTGGGATTCAGCCACATAAGTAGCATTGTAATTAATGGTAGTTAACCCAGTACATTACCAAACATTATCAAGGGAATAATAATGGTCCATGTGTTGAACTTAGACTGTGCTTCCCATAAAGGGGTCCCAAAGTACCTGATAGAGATTACTGCATTAGTTCCTACAATCCCGTGAGATGTGGAAGGCACTGCTCTCCTTTTACAGAGAAAGAAAGTGGAATATAGGCAACATTTTCCAAAGGGCTTGTGGATTTGCTGATTTTTGTTTTCCCAGTGGCACGATCCACAGAGAGGTGGAAGGAGGCTCTTCTGTCAAACTGACAGCACGAGGAGAGTCAACCCCCAGCTTTTTGGTTGCAATCTTGCACATCTATGAATGAAGGCTACTCTTGCACTACGTCACTGAGTTGCCAATGCATTTCAAAAAACAAACAAGAAACCCAAATAAACGGAAGGGCATGGCAGAGATCCAGAAGGAAAGAGTGAGCTATCCAGGAATAAAAAACTCATTTAAACAAGTTCCCTAGCTCAGAACTGCTAATCCCTGGTGATTTCTTTAGGCCTCATGCAGCATCAAACACAGCCCAGGAGACTTCAAACATTTTTATCCTGTTACATCCCTAGGAATATGAGACGGTATGATTTGATTGCACAGCAATGGATAATCTAACAACAGCTTTTCCATCCCTCATGACTCCCCGTGATTCTAGCTCACTGCAACTGTAGAAAAATACAATTTTCTGTATGTTGCTTTCACAGCCTTACAGCATTTTATGTGCCTCATGGAATTTCTGAATTTTTTGTTTGAAACACAGTAGTTCCAAACTGCTATAGGCATTTAATAAGCATAATCAAAATAATTAAAAACTGAATTAAGAAGGGGGCATTTTCCAAAAGTCATTTTCATCTCTTAAATCTGGCATAGAGAGTAACAGATGCTAGATAAAGTACCAACTTACTTACATGTGCATGATCTAAACTTATCGCTCCAATTAGTTTGGACTCTGCTCGGGACATCAAACCCGTTCTGTGTCCTAGGCACAACTACTTCCTACAAACCCTCTGAAAATCTTCAAAATTTTGCATTATAATATAAAAATGTATCAAGTCATCTGTCCTTTGTACTATTCAGTCAACTTTGTTCAGGAGGCCTGTTTCAAGGCTGGAAGAAACAGTCGAGCTATGGCTGAATTAATTACTGTATGATACCAGACCAGTGTAATTGACCGTGTGCTAGCTCTTAGCCTGCCAGAAACTCGAAGAAAAATGTGCTAGCTTAAAATTCAATTAAGCTAACATGCTTTTCTAGCATTTGCAAGGGGCTAAAAGTGTGTCTATGGTCAATGTCCGCAGCTCAGCTGATTCATAAAAATTTGTAAAGCTACAGGATGAATGTTTTTTTCTCAATCTTTTAAAAGGAAGTTTAAGGTTTTGATGTAACAAAATAATGCCAGATTTATCCAATAATGACAGATTGGACTGGAATTTTAGTCTATGTCTTGAAGATAACAACATCTAAAATAAAATATAAGATTTTTTTTTCCCTGTGTCTTAGGGTAATCACTCAAAAAATATAAATTAATTGAGGATACTAATGTCTAGTCCCTTAAAGAAAGTGCCACCCTCAGAAGCAAAGAACTGAAGGGAGACAGAACAGCAAATAAACATAACCCAAAGCAGATAGATGAATAGGAACAGAGAAAAAATATGTAAGGACAGGAATGGCTTTTGTTTTAGGTTTCATCAGAGCAAAATGGAATCTTTCCATTGACTTAAGCAGCTAGTCAGATAATACATAAAGATTGTGGGGGCAACCTACACCAAGACATAGGCTGTTATGTCAGAGAGAAGCCAGTAATTCCAAAATCTACTGTACAGATTTAAGTCAACCTTTAACCTTGACAAATGGAAGGCTTTCTGCATCCCTCCTGCCTATTTCAGCTCTTTCCCTATTATGCCGTGACCTTTCCTGCTTTTTTCCCCCTTTTTTTTTTTTTTCCCCCTGGATTTTCTAATGTGAAATGAGTTGCTCTCTTACTCCAAGCAGATAGTAGTTTGCCTGTCTTTAGGGACAGGTCACAATTTTTAGAGCATTCAAGCTTCTTCCTTGTGCCAGTCAGTATCAAGGGAGGAAAGAGATTCAAGGACCAAGAATATTGTTTGAAATAATTAATTAGAATTAATATTAATGTTCTAGGGAAAATGCACTAAAAACCTCTAAGCAATGAAAAATAAGGGCTGTGCATCTCTAGAGTTCCTGGAACACTGCTGCTTGCTAAAAAGAATCAATGTAAAAACACTGGGAACCTCTTTGACATTCAAAAATAGTGCAGGTCTCCACAAATCCTTTTGTTCAAAGCTTTTTGTGTGTTGCATATTGAATGCAAGCTTTTGGAGCATAATAATAATTCCTGGAACTACTAAATGGTGCCTCAGTTTTGCATTTATTTATTTATTTATTTATTTATGTATTGCAAAATACTTCTTTTTTCTATTGAGAAATTAATTTAGTATTGCAAAGTACTTCTTTTTTCTATTGAGAAATTAATTTACATTGCCTTAACCTTCTAAGCCCCTTGGTAAACTGCTTACCCATCTGAAACATTTGTGCTGTTTTCATTGGAGAAGAAACGGCTCTTTTGTAGAGTGTAACCAGTGAAATGCGTTGCTGAAAAGAGATACCTCATCTGGCTTTGAGAAAGATGTGGTAGAGAAAAGCAGACTGATGCATTGTGCTTTTGCACTCAGCTCAATTAGCCCAGCAATGTACTATGACAAAAAAAATATACTCACAGCCTAACCTTTAACTAATGCAAACATTAAATAGTGTAAAAACAAGCATATTAATCAAATAACTGCATATTAAATATCAAAATGCATAAATAAAATGTTTCAGCTTGAGATTAGTTTGCTCAAGGACTGCAGTAAGTACCATTAGATGAGCACTGTTTCCTTATTAATGTGTTACAGTATTTTTCTCTGTTTTATCCTAACATTCAAAATTAATATTTCCAGTGACTGAGAAGAAGGAATAACCTGCCAAGTAC